TCGACGATAACTTTAAAGTCATCAACGATGCCAAGGCCAAGGCGTACAGGATCGAGGACCGCAAGCTGGCTCAAGTCGAGACTATGACCAGAAGAATGTTTTTCGGCCTCAACAGATCCAGGACTATCAACGAAACTCTCATCACTAGGTTTCGAGATTCCACATCAGAAGACGACAGAATGGTATACTCGGCCCTCCTCATGCAAAAGAAGGACCAACAGTTCATGACCGATCACCTTTCATCCATCTCCGCAGCTCTTACTCTGGCTCATCGTCAAGGTCTCTTCGCCAACTGCAGTTGGTGTGAACAGTTCACAACACCGCTCTACACAGCCCCCGTGGTCAACTCCATCCATCTTCGCTGGAGGAATTGATAAAGTCTCTAAAGAAGTCACCAAGGATTCAAGAGAAGTCCTCATGATTAAATCTATTGACACTCTGGCCAGCGTCATCAGACAGACATCACAAAGATATTCCGGAAGATCCAAGTTTACTGGTCTACAAAAAGCACGGGACAGGAAGATGGCCGGCTTCAGAGGTGGAAAGGACTCTTTTCGTCGCCCATTCGGCAACTACAGGGGAGGATCTGGAAGAGGCAGGACACCCAGAGGCTCCCGCAACTATCGTCGATGAAAGACGGGTTCGGAACGACTGGAGTCTTCCACCCCCAGCCGTCCCTATACAACCTTCACAAGTGGGTGGACGCCTTCAACTGCACTGGGAGAACTGGGGAATACTACAAGATCCATATGTCTCCAACATCCTACAACACGGATATCGCATCCAACTACGGGCCACGCCTCCGCTTACAGTCAACCTTCACAAGTTCGACTTCCAGGCACAACACATACTAAAGTTACGAGAAGCTGTTTCATCTCTCCTAACCAAGCAGGCCATAGAAATCGTGGATCAAGTAATCATCGAACCAGGTTTCTACTCCCCAGTTTTCCTAGTGCCCAAGAAAAATTCCAAGGAAAAGTTCCGACTCATCTACAACATGAGCACGTTCAACAGGGATTATCTACGCAAACCGCCAACGTTTCGCATGATACATCTACCTCAACTACTGCACCTCCTTCGTCCGATGGACTACATGGCCAGTATAGATCTACAGGATGCCTACCTGCATATCCCGATACATCCCGACTTGAGGAAGTACCTACGGTTTACACTAGACGGGCTACATTACCAATGGAAGGTCCTACCATTTGGAATATCATCGGCCTCCTGGTTGTTTACAAGAATAACAAAACCCACGTCACTTACCTACATCGTCAATGGCTACACAGTGCGTTCTACCTCGACAACGGGATTCAAGTAGATCAAGATCCAGAGCGTCTCAAACTACAGTTGAATTCCACCATCAAACTACTAACGCAGCTAGGATGGTTAGTGAATCTACTCAAGTCGGACCTAGAACCTACACAAGACCTGCAGTTTCTAGGCATCAGATTTCTCACGACACAGAACCGTATCGTCGTACCAGAGGACCGATGGCTCAAGATTCAACAGACGATCCCTCAAGCCTTACTCTCTCTGTTACCACTACGACAGTGGCAGAGTCTGTTGGGTCTCCTCACGTCAGCACAAGACATGACAGCCAGAGGCAGACTACAGTTACGCCTGTTACAGGTCCTCATCAACGCTCATCTCGACGACCTTCAACTCTTCGGTCTACCGAATCACCTCAGACCTCATCTACTTTGGTGGACCCGGAGGTCGAATGTTTGCGAAGGCATCTATTTAACAGAGCCGGAGTTCAAGACCCATCTCTATGTCGACGCGTCGCTCCAAGGTTGGGGAGCTCATCTCGCCAACCGGACGGCAGCAGGGTTATGGAACCAAGAAGAGAGCAATCTGCACATCAACATGCTCGAAATGAAAGCAGTAATCAACGCCTTACTTCATTGGAGCACCATTCTACAGAATGCGCATCTCATGATCCACACCGACAACTCAACAGTGGCGTTTTATATAAACAAGCAAGGCTCAACAAGATCATTGAACCTACTGACTCTATGCTTTCAACTGTTCGACCTGATCGACGATCTCAACATACATGTGAGAGCATGCCACATTCCCGGAGCCAAGAATGTACTAGCAGACGCCACTCTCTCGGCCAAATCTACCATCACCAACGGAATGGAAGCTCCACCCCGAAATCTTCGCTCAGATTATCAAGGAAATAGGAGCTCCATTAATAGACCTATTCGCCACTCGCTTCAACAATCAGCTAACAACATTCGTCTCACCAGTCCCAGATCCACAAGCGTGGGCAACGGACGCTCTAAGCATATCCTGGGAAGGCCTCAACGCGTATGCGTTTCCGCCGCCAGCGCTAATACCAATGGTATTACAGAAAATCAGACTAACTCAGAGCCTCCAACTGATTTTGGTCGTGCCTTACTGGCCAGCGAGAACGTGGTTTCCCATTCTAATACAAGAAATCGGACAACCAATGCTACAACTACCAAGGAGTTCGAATCTACTCGTACATGCTCACACAAAACAAGCGCACGACAACCCAGGATCATTCCAACTTCACGTATGGAGTGTATTAAAGCGTGTTTAAACAAGAGAGGGTACTCAACCAGAGCGGCGAAAGCAGTCACGCTTGCTTTACGCAATTCTAACTTGTATGATGACAACTGGCACAGTTTTGAGACATACGCTGCTAAAAAGGGATTTACAGCTAGAAATGCTACACATCCTCAAGTGGCGGACTATCTTTGTGTCACCTACGACAAACCAAACGTCTAAAAGGCTCTACACTTTCAACGTACCTCGCAGCACTAAGTTCAGTGATAACTATGAGGACGGGTGCCAAGCTAACCAAGACGCCAGAGTTCCTCGCCTTGCTAGGCTCTTTCCGATTGGAGGAGCAGAAACAGAGATTTCGCGCTCCAGCATGGGATCTCAATGTTGTGCTTCAACACCTCACAAGTGAGGCTTACAAACCACTGGAAACTACATCGTTTGAATTCCTGACACGGAAAACACTGTTTCTGCTATCCCTAGCAACGGCAGCCAGGATGTCGGAAATCCACGCTCTAGATTACGAGAGAGCACGTTTTGACGACAATCAAAACTCAGTGCATATGGGACTGCGATGGGACTTTATCGCCAAGAATCAACTGCCAGGTCAACCAGACAGACAATTCCACGTCCCTGCACTTTCCTCCGTACTGGGACCTCATGATACGCTGGACTTATCACTATGCCCAGTGAGAGCACTCAAAGTTTATTTACAACGATCCAAAACGAGGGCTTAATTTTAAATTCAAGCGATTATTCATCCCTCTCTCTACAGCGACACAGACCGAAGTCTCTCGCACCACGATATCTATATGGATCAGAACTGTCATTCTACGAGCCTACAAGGCTGCAGGACTCGAACCTCCAAGAGCATCTAACCCTCACGAAATTAGAGCACTGGCTTCTATACTTGCTCTACATGGAAATTGCTCGCTGAATACGATCATGGAGGGCTGTTTCTGGAAATCTGACATGGTGTTTGCTAACCACTACCTGAGAGATATTGCCACCGAGGACATCTCAGGCATTCACCATTTCGGTCCCCTGGTCCTCGCACAGCAGTTGACAGTTCCTCGTAGACGATGAGACGTAGTCTCACTATATTATATCAGTAATTATCAAGCTTACAACTCTACGGAGTTTTGCTTTAGTCAACATGTATATCTTAAGCCTAGTTCAGTCTTAAGCCCAGTACTTGTTGTTACTTGTACAGTTGGGTCGCTTCTCCACTTTGGAGTCGCTTTATTTCTATTTTAACCTACTATTGTAGTCCCCCCCATCTATGGCAGCTGGTAGAACTTATGTATGATAGCAGCAGAAATTAATTTATTTACAGTGCCATTATGAAGTTCCCATAGGGGGTTATTTTACATAAAGTCACTAATTAAATCCAAAGTATCTTTCCCCACCTCCGATTCCGTCGGATTCTACAAGCAAAAGAGCATGAGTCAGGATAAGGAAAAATATGTACTTTTCTGAATAAAATTGATATTTTATACTTATCCTGACTCATGAGGTAAGCCCTCCCATCCTCCCCTCATGACACTTTGGATTTCCCTGCAAATTGAAGTGTCGGGCTCGTTATCAGGAGAGAGTGAAGCATGTGGGCCACGGTGGCGCCGTCTTTCCCGCCAGTTGGAGCAAAGAGGGGCAACTCTTGGTGAGTAGTGATTAGTGATTTTACGTATGTTTCAATTGAAGGGAGCTTCAATAGGGAGATACAAGTGTTCCACTATGTTCGCAAGAAGAAGAAGACAAGCAAAAGAGCATGAGTCAGGATAAGTATAAAATATCAATTTTATTCAGAAAATTACTTATTTGTCTTTGAACATGTTACATATAACTTATATTATATCTGAGATTACACAGTCAAGTTCAGATTCTAGTACTTTTGGGGGTTGAGTCCGACACTCTCAGGGTCAGGAACCAAATCACCAACATACTGTCAGCAATCTAACTCACACAGCCTCTGTGGCTTCCACAAAAATGGTAAACCTGTGAAAATTGGCATGGCTCCCATGGTCGAATACTATGAATAACCCTCGAAATACTACTAGAATCTGCTGTTTACTCGGAAAGTGTAACCTGAAATATAACAGATGTTATGTGACCACTTTCCGAATGTCATTCTGTATTCTGTATGGCTCACCTGTACTTTGCATGTCTTACTTGCAGGTTATCCTGCAACAGTAACTGGCCTTTATGGTAAAAGCACCTGAAGAGCCTGTTACTGTACCTGCTTTCAAGTTACTTTAAGTATTAGACATATTGACACATTACTAAAACATGCCACCATGTAAGTGGTGAGGTTGAAGCCAGTGTGACCAGTGCTTGTACTAGGAGCAGAGTGGCCACCACACCATACTGCAAGGGCTGAGATCTAGTTTGGTAGGGTTAACCATGTTAACATGAGTGAAATCCTGTACAAGTGACAAAAATAGAAAAATAATTTAAATTTGTTTCAGATTGAAAATGAGTATGGCAGTTACTTTGCCTGTGATTATGACTACGTCCGTTTTCTGTACAACAAAGTGCGATCGGTTCTGGGCAAGACAGTTGTTATCTATACCACCGACGGTGATGGAGACAGCTACCTCAAGTGTGGCGCCATCTCTGGCGCCTACGCAACTGTTGACTTTGGTGTATCATGTGAGGATTATATTTTATACATAAAAATGTTTGTAATTGAGAATGGTATTAAGAATGTACTTGTGAAGTTTTAAGGTATGTTTCATAATCTAATTAGATTTATGCTGATTGTGAGTTTGTTACTAATTACAAATGACAAGAATGGCTGACTGGACATTATGTGTGTTTTACTTCAGTTGGAGGGCTGGCATAGACATAGAGCGAAATACGTCACATTTCCTTGTCATTATAGTTGGACTTTAGTCTTATAAATGGTCTGTCAGCAAACTCACAATGACTTTCAGGAAAGTTGTTTCCAAGCAACATCAACTGGAGTTTAATCTCACGTTAATCCTACATAAATATGACATGCTGTAATAGCTAATAAAAAACTTTTGGGATATATACTTTAGTTTTTCAAAAATATATATTTTTATGTGGGCTTATTTGTTAGAAGTAACTTGACAGTGCAATCAAACAATGCATAATAAACAAATATTTGAAAACATTTCACATGTTCCTTCAGATACACCTGCCAAGAACTTTGCTGCACAGAGAGACTATGAGCCAAATGGACCAGCGGTAATCATTGTTTAAAGGATGAAATGTCGTTTGCAAGCACTTTTATTATTGAACTCCTAGTTACATGACAAGGACCAACCACAGTTTGCATCTGTGCAGCAATACAGAAACTCAACTTTTATTTTGTGGCCTCCTTCTTTGTCTCAAAGAGAGGTGCAGTGAACTTTTTGCCTTTGGTATTTAATATTTTAAAAGATTACAGCTTTTCAAATTTGGTGACCACCTATTTTATCAAAAGGCGAGGTGCCAGGCAAATTTTCATTTTGATTTTATATTTGTTTCAATAATCACAGCAAGTTACAAATTGGAACTTGGAATAGTTTGTTTAAACAAGAACTTGAAAAGTGTTAGTCAAAATGTTTTAAAATCTGGAAAGTGAAAGTGGAGGTTTCCTTGTTACAACCATTATTAATGAACTGTACATCACTGTAATAGCTTATAATTAGTGTGATCTTCATGGGGGGTCCTGTTCAGGTGAACTCCGAGTTCTACACTGGCTGGCTGGATCACTGGGGTTCCCCTCACTCAACAACAGACATGAGATCAGTGGCCAAGAGTCTGGACCTGCTCCTGGACTATGGTGCCAACATCAACATGTGAGTTTGAATAAGATGTCACTGGTACCATCTTGCTGGGATTATTTAGCTTGTTAACAAGTGCTTCAGATTGTTAGGAGATGTGATTGTCAACAACTACTTCTTCTGTAACTGACATAGTTATCGTATACTGGGACTATCAACTTGTGTTTAGATCTGATAATACCTTTGTGAATACAGCTGATTAATGGTAATGCCACCAGATCAGTTTATGTATAGCATACCAGTCTGAGACCCCAGTGAACGTTTGGAGAGCCAAATTGCTTAGTTCATACAGCGCCTATCACAGCATTGAGGCAAGAACATTGGCCCAGATAATGCCAGCATTCTTACTTCCTCAGGTACATGTTTGAAGGAGGCACCAACTTTGCTTACTGGAATGGTGACGTATATTTCCTTTTCATTGAGTCATGTGTGTTTCAGACACAGGCATTTACTAATGTTTATCATGTTCCAATTAGAAATAAGTAAATACTATAGTAAATTCTTTCTAAGGCTAATTGACTAGACTTCATATGATATCAGCAGCTACAACTTTTGTTTCTGATGTGGCATAAATAGCCCCCTGTTGATTGTTGAAGTGAAACATGGGTATTGCATGGGTGATCTGGGTTGATTGTAGGTGCCAATGCCCCTCCTTACCAGCCTGTACCAACCAGCTATGACTATGACTCCCCTCTTAATGAGACCGGCGACATCACAGAAAAATACATTGCCATAAGGCAGGTCATATCAAAGGTAAATATTCTCTTGTAGTAGATCAGATGAATTATGTTTGCTATAGGTTCACCTCCAACTGCTATCGGATAGGTTGGAGTCATTGGTAGATCAAACTGTAATGGTTAACTTGAAGCCTTCATTAAAGAGATGCTAAATGTAATAGTATACAAAGGCAACAAAAGGACTTTTTCCTGACATATATTATAGCTAATCCCAGATAAATCTCAACATTAGGTCTTTAATGAACATGTTCTGTCATTAAAGTCCACCATAATACACATACTGTACAAGAAGAGATTGTGTGACACATGGTGTACACACTTAAAGGTTACATAGACATCTGTGTGACTCATGGTGTACACATTTAATGGTTACAGAGACATCTGTGTGATACATGGTGCACACACTTAGCGGTTACAGAGATGTCTGTGTGACTCATGGTGTACACTTAATGGTTACAGAGACATCTGTGTGACACATGGTGTACACACTTAATGGTTACAGAGATGTCTGTGTGACTCATGATGTACACACTTAGTGGTTACAGAGATGTCTGTGTGACTTATGGTGTACACTTAATGGTTACAAAGACATCTGTGTGACACATGGTATACACACGTAGCGGTTACATAGACATCTGTGTGACTCATGATGTACACACTTAGTGGTTACAGAGATGTCTGTGTGACTTATGGTGTACACTTAATGGTTACAAAGAAATCTGTGTGACATGGTGTACACACTTAGTGGTTACAGAGACATCTGTGTGATACATGGTGTACACAGCGGTTACAGACATGTCTGTGTGACTCATGGTGTACACTTAATGGTTACAGAGACATCTGTGTGACTCATGGTGTACACACTTAATGGTTACAGAGACATCTGTGTGACTCATGATGTACACACTTAATGGTTACAGAGACATCTGTGTGACACATGGTGTACACACTTAATGGTTACAGAGATGTCTGTGTGACTCATGATGTGCACACTTAATGGTTACAAAGAAATCTGTGTGACACATGGTGTACACACTTAGTGGTTACAGAGACATCTGTGTGATACATGGTGTACACAGCGGTTACAGATATGTCTGTGTGACTTATGGTGTACACTTAATGGTTACAGAGACATCTGTGTGACTCATGGTGTACACACTTAATGGTTACAGAGACATCTGTGTGACTCATGATGTACACACTTAGTGGTTACAGAGATGTCTGTGTGACTTATGGTGTACACTTAATGGTTACAAAGACATCTGTGTGACACATGGTATACACACGTAGCGGTTACATAGACATCTGTGTGACTCATGATGTACACACTTAGCGGTCACTGAGACATCTGTGTGACTCATGGTGTACAAACTTAATGGTTACGGAGACATCTGTGTGACACATGTACACACTTAATGGTTACAGAGACATCTTTGTGACTCATAGTGTACACACTTTATGGGTACAGAAACATCTGTGTGATACATGGTGTACACACATGGTGGTTACTGAAATATCTGTGTGACTCATGGTTTACACACTTAATGGTTACAGAGACATCTGTGTGACTCATGGTGTACATACTAAGCAGTTACAGAGACATTTGTGTGACTCATGATGTACACACTTAGCGGTTACTGAGACATCTGTGTGACTCATGGTGTACACACTTAATGGTTACAGAGACAACTGTGTGACACATGTACACACTTAATGGTTACAGAGACATCTGTGTTACTCATAGTGTACACACTTAATGGTTGCAGAGACATCTGTGTGATACATGGTGTACACACATGGTGGTTACTGAAATATCTGTGTGACTCATGGTTTACACACTTAATGGTTACAGAGACATCTGTGTGACTCATGGTGTACATACTAAGCAGTTACAGAGACATTTGTGTGACTCATGATGTACACACTTAGCGGTTACTGAGACATCTGTGTGACTCATGGTGTACACACTTAATGGTTACAGAGACAACTGTGTGACACATGTACACACTTAATGGTTACAGAGACATCTGTGTGACTCATAGTGTACACACTTAATGGTTGCAGAGACATCTGTGTGACACATGGTGTACACACATGGTTACTGAAACATCTGTGTGACTCATGGTGTACACACTTAATGGTTACAGAGACATCTGTGTGACTCATGATGTACACACTTAGTGGTTACAGAGATGTCTGTGTGGCTTATGGTGTACACTTAATGGTTACAAAGACATCTGTGTGACACATGGTGTACACATTTAGTGGTTACTGAAACATCTGTGTGACTCATGGTTTACACACTTAATGGTTACAGAGACATCTGTGTGACTCATGGTGTACACACTTAGCGGTTACAGAGACATCTGTGTGACTCATGGTGTACACACTTAAAGGTCACATGCAATGTAAAACACAACTTTGCAGATTCTGATACCTTTCGGTATGGACTTACCGAAACAAATCGTCAAAAATACAAATTCAACTTATAAAGTTGAAAAATAACGCGATGCAAAAAAACGTGCGAAATCGGAGTTCAAACGATTTACTAATTTTCCCTCGACTTTTCGAGGGAAAACTGGTTTCAACAGCTGGGCTGCGCTCATAGCACGTGCGCAGTGAAATAGGTTCGCGCAACTTGGAAGCGGGCTGTCCGGTGAATACTCGGTGAAGGCTTTGGTGTGAGCTATTTTCCTAATGTTTTGTTGATATCTCACAGGCGAGCTTTTATATGTTATGACAGTAAATAAACTGTTTATATAATTTCATTTGTCTATTTCACCACACGTTCTTCTTACCGAGTCACTTTCTCAGTTCGATACTTAAAAGCAATGTCATTATTTAGCGTTGACAGAATTTCTAACTGTGATATAGATATGTCGTTGTCACAGACAAAACTCAATGTCTTGTTTTATTGACACCTGTGTGTCTGCCTGCCTGTCTGCTAATGACAATATTCAATACACAACTGCGATCACTGACCACATGCAATTTGAACTTAACACCAATCAGGCTATACACCATAAAAAAACGCATTGATTTATGACCCGAGTTCGGTCAGTCACATTATGTAATTACACAGACAGGCAGGTGTGATACTTGAACACATGACATGTTATGATGTCTGTGATTGCAAAATGTTATACACCAAAAATGAGCATGTATTTACAAAACCCAATATCTCTATATATACACACACAATGAGCTGTGAGGGCATTCTGCAAATGAACCAGCCGTTACACTTGAGTGCACACCCACCCGCTCTGACTGGGTTCGGTATCCCGGCTGCTTCGTTTCTTGGAGGGTAAACCAAAGTACACAATATTGCACTTTTGATTTGCGATTGTACGCTTATAATTTTGTTTATATGTTTTTTCATAACCAGCAATGTATATTATATGTCATGAATAAGTGATAATTGTGTTTTCATTATGTTTGATTTTTTGGTTGCATGTGACCTTTAATGGTTACAGAGACATCAGTGTGACACATGATTTACACACTTAGTGGTTACAGAGACATCTGTGTGACACATGGTGTACACACTTAATGGTTACAGAGACATCTGTGTGACTCATGGTGTACACACTTAATGGTTACAGAGACATCTGTGTAATACATGGTGTACACACTTAATGGTTACTGAGACATCTGTGTGATACATGGTGTACACACTTAATGGTTACTGAGACATCTGTGTGATACATGGTGTACACACTTAATGGTTTCAAAAACATCTGTGTGACACATGGTGTACACACTTAATGGTTTCAAAGACATCTGTGTGACACACATATTGCTGGGTTATATGTGAGACAACTGTTAACTGTTAATATTCACATTTGATACGTGAGTAATGAGTGAAAAAAAAATTAAAATTACAATCTTTAAATTCTCAATAATTTCTGGTTGTACTCTAGAAAGTTGTGGTCCATGCTGTCCCAATATCGGACCACCTCTTCTTTCAATTCAGCAATATTCCTAAAATTCTCAATAATTTCTGGTCATACTTATATATTTAAATATGCGAGGGTGCCTTTCCTTATTCCGCCTGGTCTTGTTTCAGTATAACCCTCTACCACCTGAGCCGATCCCCCAAAACACTCCAAAGTGTCCGTATGGAAATGTGCAGATGGATTTTGTAAGTGGAGTGTGACATACTGTACATAATGTTTGAAGGGAGCTCAACATCATAGATAGCAAATATGTATGTCACTGACATTGGATCAGTCTTTATTGATTGTTTTCATGATTGAAGATTGCTGTGTTTGGTGGTATTCTGCAGGGCTTGTGATTCAGGGGTGTCTTTTTATCTCCCGTATCTTTATGTCCACGCTAAGAGTGTTGTTACAATGTGTACCTTGTTGTACGACCTCTAAAAGTGGTTACAATGTGTACCTTGTTGTACAAGCTTTGAATGTGGTTACAATGTGTACCTTGTTGTACGAGCTCTAAATGTGGTTACAATGTGTATCTTGTTGTACAAGCTTTGAATGTTGTTACAATGTGTACCTTGTTGTACGACCTCTAAAAGTGGTTACAATGTGTACCTTGTTGTACAAGCTTTGAATGTTGTTACAATGTGTACCTTGTTGTACGAGCTCTAAATGTGGTTACAATGTGTACCTTGTTGTACGAGCTCTAAATGTGGTTACAATGTGTACCTTGTTGTACGAGCTCTAAATGTGGTTACAATGTGTACCTTGTTGTACGAGCTCTAAATGTGGTTACAATGTGTACCTTGTTGTCGAGCTCTAAAAGTGGTTACAATGTGTACCTTGTTGTACGAGGTCTAAATGTGGTTACAATGTGTGTCTTGTTGTACAAACTCTAAATCTGGTTACAATGTGTACCTTGTTGTACGAGCTCTAAAAGTGGTTACAATGTGTACCTTGTTGTACGAGCTCTAAATGTGGTTACAATGTGTACCTTGTTGTACGAGCTCTAAATGTGGTTACAATGTGTACCTTGTTGTACGAGCTCTAAAAGTGGTTACAATGTGTACCTTGTTGTACGAGCTCTAAAAGTGGTTACAATGTGCGTCTTGTTGTACAAGCTTTGAATGTGGTTACAATGTGTACCTTGTTGTACAAGCTTTGAATGTGGTTACAATGTGTGTCTTGTGCTAGCTTCAAATGTGTTGTACAAGCTTGAATGTGGTTACAATGTGTATCTTGGTTGTGTACACAAGCTTTGAATGTGGGTTACAATGTGCGTCTTGTATGAGTTTCAATGTGGTTGCAATGTGTCTCTTGTTGTACAAAGCTTTGAATGTTGTTACAATGTGTACCTTGTTGTACGACCTCTAAAGTGGTTACAATGTGTACCTTGTTGTACAAGCTTTGAATGTTGTTACAATGTGTACCTTGTTGTACGAGCCTCTAAATGTGGTTTACAATGTGTACCTTGTTGTAATGAAGCTCTAAAATGTGGTTACAATGTGTACCTTGTTGTACGAGCTCTAAATGTGGTTACAATGTGTACCTTGTTGCACGAGCTCTAAAATGTGGTTACAATGTGTACCTTGTTGTCGAGCTCTAAAAGTGGTCATACCGTGTACCTTGTTGCACGATGAGGTCTAAAATGTGGTTACAATGTGTGTCTTGTTGTACAAACTCTAAATCTGGTTACAATGTGTACCTTGTTGTAATGCAAAAAGTGGTTACAATGTGCGTTGTCTTGTTGTACAAGCTTTGTTGTACGAATGTGGTTACAATGTGTACCTTGTTGTACAAGCTTTGAATGTGGTTACAATGTGTGTCTTGTGCTAGCTTCAAATGTGGTTACAATGTGTGTCTTGTTGTACGAGCTCTAAAAGTGGTTACAATGTGTTCCTTGTTGTACGAGGTTTGAATGTGGTTACAATGTGTGTCTTGTTGTAACGAGCTTCTATTGTGGTTACAATGTTTGTCTTGTGTACACAAGCTTCAAATGTGGTTACAATGTGTGTCTTGTTGTACAAGCTTCGAATGTGGTTACAATGTGTATCTTGTTGTGTACACAAGCTTTGAATGTGGTTACAATGTGTGTCTTGTATGAGTTTCGAATGTGGTTGCAATGTGTGTCTTGTTGTATGAGCTTTGAATGTGGTTGCAATGTGTATCTTGTTGTATGAGCTTTGAATATGGTTACAATGTGTATCTTGTTGTATGAGCTTCGAATGTGGTTACAATGTGTGTCTTGTTGTACGAGCTTCGAATGTGGTTACAATGTGTGTCTTGTGCTAGCTTCGAATGTGGTTACAGTGTGTCTTGTTGTGTACATAAGCTTCAACTGTGGTTACAATGGGTGATCAAATGTGGTTACAATGTGTGCCTTGTTGTGCTAGCTTTGAATGTGGTTACAATGTGTGTCTTGTTGTGCTAGCTTTGAATGTGGTTACAATGTGTGTCTTGTGCTAGCTTCGAATGTGGTTACAATGTGCATCTTGTTGTGCTAGCTTCAAATGTGGTTACAATGTGTGTCTTGTATGAGGACCGAATGTGGTTACAATGTGTGTCTTGTATGAAGACTGAACGTGGTTACAATGTGTGCCTTGTATAAGGACCAAATGTGTTTACAATGTGTGTCTTGTATGAGGACCGAATGTGGTTACAATGTGTGTCTTGTATGAGGACCGAATGTGGTTACAATTGAGTCTTGTTGTGCTAGCTTTGAATGTGGGTTACAATGTGTGTCTTGTTGTGCTAGCTTTGAATGTGGTTACAATGTGTGTCTTGTGCTAGCTTCGAATGTGGTTACAATGTGCATCTTGTTGTGCTAGCTTCAAATGTGGTTACAATGTGTGTCTTGTATGATAACCGAATGTGGTTACAATGTGTGTCTTGTATGAAGACCAAATGTGGTTACAATGTGTGCCTTGTATAAGGACCAAATGTGTTTACAATGTGTGTCTTGTATGAGGACCGAATGTGGTTACAATGTGTGTCTTGTATGAGGACCGAATGTGGTTACAATGTGTGTCTTGTATGAGGACCGAATGTGGTTACAATGTGTGTCTTGTATGAGGACCGAATGTGGTTAGAGTGTGTGTCTTGTATGAGGACCGAATGTGGTTATAGTGTGTGTCTGGTATGAGGACCGAATGTGGTTAGAGTGTGTGTCTTGTATGAGGTCCAAATGTGATTACAAAACTGTATGAATGATCCTTGGTCAGTGTGACATCAAGGCATAAAGTTATGTAAGCCAGAACAAGTACCTTCAATAACACTGACCTCCAGAAGAAGACAGATCTTCAGTAGCTACTTCATGATAAAGATCTGTTCAGAACTCACATAGTTTGCTCTAGCTATACCAAATCAGGTTTTTTACATGTAAATAAATTGTTTAAGGTGTTTAAAAGTTGTTGTTTACATGTTCACAGTGTTTTCTACTTAACTGAAGAAGCAAACCTTCTCATGTGTAACTAGCTGTTCTCTTACCTAAAGCATTAGTTTGTATGTTTGACATGTCTTCAGATGACAACAATTCAAGGATCTCTTCAAACAACAAGCCCTGGTGGACCGATCAAATCTCGCTTTCCTCTCACCATGGAACAGATTAAGTTTGTGAGTGACAATTTGATAGGTGTACCTCTTCAGCATAACCTTTTATTGTCTGTTATAGTTCACCATAATTTGTTTTAGGTTGTGTTGGAAATATTATTATTCCATTGAGCCAGTTAGTAAACTTTGAAATTGCTTTCTATGTCATGGCAAAATTATAAAGTCATTCAAGAAATGAAAAAAATGTTCAAACTGATGTAAAGCAAATTTTTAGTTCCTTAAAAATGTTCAACAAAACAAACAAATCCTCTCTATGTTTTAACTGAAAAGTTGCTGAGCACTATGTTAGACTGTTTATGTATAAGACGTCCTTAATACTGTTTTTTTGCTTTCATTATTGTCTGCTGAACATATTGCTGTGTCCATTTCCAGTATTATGGTTTCATCCTGTATCGCCACGTCTTGAAGAGCAACTTGACACTCCCAACACCACTCGTGACTAACGGAACACGAGACCGAGGTTACGTCATGGTCAATGAGGTTGGTTAGAAGGTCATTTTATACTGTAGCAGTCTGTATACAGTAAACACCATGTTGTCAGAAGTTATTTTTGCTCTTTCATGCATGACTGGAATAGGTCCCCAGTACCATAAGAACCTTGAAACACTAATGCTTAGCTGTGACATGATTGCCGCGTTACCATCATTGTGTTGATTAAGCTCATATTATTGACCACTGGTTTATGAGGCCCTTAGTCTGGGGATTATCAGGTCCCTGTACATTTATATGCAGGTGCTTGGATGAAGCAATGATAACACTAACATCAGTATACGAACTCTTCACTCAACGTTTAGACACTGGACATGTTTGTACATTGATACAAAGGATACCAAGATCTTCGTGCAACTGTTTATTTTCTGGGTAAATCTCCAGGTACCCATGGGTATCTTTAACCGGGACCTGACATGGCAGGTGAACATCACTGGGGCTGCTGGCCAGTACCTAGACATTCTGGTGGAGAACCAGGGCCGCATAGGATTCAGTACACTCATGAACTACAACCTGAAGGTAGGTGGCACAAGGTTCTAGAACTTCCTCATCCCAAACATGGACACTGTTGCTCATGTATGACTTTATGTTAAAACTGCTTGATAATAAAACATTTCGAGGAGGAACCATGGCACTTCATTTATTGAAACCATAGTGTTTGATTTATTGGAACCATTGTGTTTGATATATTGGGAACCATTGTGTTTGATTTATTGGAACCATAGTGCTTGATTTATTAGAAGCATTGTGTTTGATATATTGGGAACCATTGTGTTTGATTTATTGGAACCATTGTGTTTGATATATTGGGAACCGTTGTGTTTGATTTATTGGGAACCATTGTGTTTGATTTATTGGAACCATAGTGCTTGATTTATTGGAACCATAGTGCTTGATATTATTGGGAACCATTGTGTTTGATTAATTATGAAACCTGACATTTGATTTATAGGGAAACCTAGCACTTGATGTATGTATTAGAAAACCCAACCAGTGTGCGAAATACTTTCTATATTTTGCTACCCAGTCAGGCTAGCTATGCCTGAAAGTTACTAGCCAACAAAATAATTCACTAGCCCAAAATTTGAATGTGGACAAGGGTTTTCATCATTAAGTTGCTAATATGATGAACATTTTTATCAGGCCATAATCTTAAATGATTTAAAATTGAATTATAACTTAACAAGTCTGAGGGAGTGATATATGTACAAAATGACCTCATGAAAATTCACTAGCCAGTTGGGCCAGTGACTGGAGGTTTGCTGGCCCAACTGGATTATTTCGCACACTGAACCCAACACTTGATGTATTGGGAACCATGGTGCTTGAATATTGGAACAGTCACACTTGATGTATTGGGAAACCTGACACTTGATGTATTGGGAACCATGGTGCTTGAATATTAGAACAGTCACACTTGATGTATTGGGAAACCTGACACTTGATGTATTGGGAATCATGGTGCTTGAATATTGGAACAGTCACACTTGATGTATTGGTAAACCTGACCCTTGATGTATTGGGAACCATGGTGCTTGAATATTGGAACAGTCACACTTGATGTATTGGGAAACCTGACACTTGATGTATTGGGAACCATGGTGCTTGAATAATGGAACAGTCACACTTGATGTATTTGGGAAACCTGACACTTGATGTATTGGGAACCATGGTGCTTGAATATTGGAACAGTCACACTTGATGTTTTGGGAAACCTGACACTTGATGTATTGGGAACCATGGTGCTTGAATAATGGAACAGTCACACTTGATGTATTGGGAAACCTGACACTTGATGTATTGGGAATCATGGTGCTTGAATATTGGAACAGTCACACTTGATGTATTGGGAAACCTGACACTTGATGTATTGGGAACCATGGTGCTTGAATATTGGAACAGTCACACTTGATGTTTTGGGAAACATGGACACTTGATGTATTGGGAACCATGGTGCTTGAATAATGGAACAGTCACACTTGATGTATTGGTAAACCTGACACTTGATGTATTGGGAACCATGGTGCTTGAATATTGGAACAGTCACACTTGATGTATTGGTAAACCTGACACTTGATGTATTGGGAACCATGGTGCTTGAATAATGGAACAGTCACACTTGATGTTTTGGGAAACCTGACACTTGATGTATTGGGAACCATGGTGCTTGAATATTGGAACAGTCACACTTGATGTTTTGGGAAACCTGACACTTGATGTATTGGGAACCATGGTGCTTGAATAATGGAACAGTCACACTTGATGTATTGGGAAACCTGACACTTGATGTATTGGGAATCATGGTGCTTGAATATTGGAACAGTCACACTTGATGTATTGGTAAACCTGACACTTGATGTATTGGGAACCATGGTGCTTGAATATTGGAACAGTCACACTTGATGTTTTGGGAAACCTGACACTTGATGTATTGGGAACCATGGTGCTTGAATAATGGAACAGTCACACTTGATGTTTTGGGAAACCTGACACTTGATGTATTGGGAACCATGGTGCTTGAATATTGGAACAGTCACACTTGATGTATTGGAAAAACCTCACACTTGATGTATTTGGAGTGGTGAAGAAAATTGAACTTGCAGAGAGGGCCAAGCTTGCACAGCTTGACTTTGGAGGTGGACCACCATGTAGGAAGACAGCGTATCGGGAGATAGACAGTAGGATTGTCAGACTGAAAGATCAGCGTCGTCAGTTCCAAGATACCGTCGGCAACCTCATTTGACTTGCATAGTGACTGAATGTTTTTCATGTGATGATAAACTTTAAAACACTCATGTGCTATTTATGACTTTATTAATGTGATTAACAGTTTTTTTCAAGGATTATTTACTTATCAATTTTATACAGATTATAATTGTTTTAATGTCTTTCTGACATCATCAATAAATAATTAAAATGATTATTTTATGTTATTTCATCATTCTGCATGGATTAGTCAATTATCTATCCTATGTAACAGGTAATTACTGAACTATGCATTCAGCTGAAAAGTTTGTTGTTTTAAGCTGTCTAACAACTGGCTGTCTAACAGATGGGAGGACACCAGGTCTGTGACACGTGATAAATTGCCCCTCACAAATTAAAAAAATGGAGCTTTGACTTTTGGTATATTGTAACTTGTGACCTCTATCATTTTGGTCGGATTTTCAAAATGTTGATTATTTGCAGGAATTATTTTTGTTGATAATTTCAAAATGTTCCATTTAGTATGTTTGCATCATTTACAGGGCCTGACGAAAAATGTAACCTTGAATGGAAGCATTTTGGAAGACTGGGAGGTTTACCCAATAACACTTGAGAATATTCGTACTCTGCCCACTTTACCAGACAGTACAGGTGAGGGAGTGTTATACCATAGGCATGGGGATGCATTTCAGTATCAAGATCAAGATAAGCCATGGCACATGGTATTTCATCAATGGAGACAGTAGGTGTTGTGTGCACTCTGTATTAGTGAGGGTTAGCATTTCCACTGTGGGCAAAGTGAAGACATTCCACTGCAGCCATGCACTGCTCAGCACACGGGCCGTTAGCTCCAAGTCAGTTTTATTTCTGAAACTGTGAGTTTATTGTATAACTAGTGTAACCATGGTAACTTCATTGTAAAATTCTAGGGCTGGTCCCAAGAAATCAGCGTCAGGTGACCTAGAGACTCCCTCCATCTACATGGGTAAAATACCAGTGCCCAACATGGCCGGTATGCCACAAGACTCCTACCTGGACATGAGGCCTTGGCATAAGGTGAGTTAGTGCTTCATTGTCTCACAGGAACAGGCTGCTCAGGTACACTGTAACGCCATAGAAGTTTCTACGCAGATAATGGTAACAAATAGAAAGCTAAAAGTTCTATTGGTGTACTACATTTAGTGGATACTGTAGGGACAACAGAGGTTGTGCTCTGCCACTTGGTTTAGATATATTATCTAGGTCTGTGAATTATTATGAATCATATTATGGAGGACGTTAAACATGTGTCTTTGCAGACAATGTAGGTTTTAAACCAATCATACCATTAGGCTCTTTTAACAGAAAATTATGATGTTAGTTAAAACAGTTAAAACAATGTGTGAAGCCCATTTCTGGTGGCCCCCATGCCCTGATATTACTGGAATATTGCTAAAAGCGGCATAAAACGGAACTGAAGAATGTGCTACATACATACACGCATGCACGCACGCACGCACGCACGCAACGCACGCACGCACGCATGCACGCACACACACACACACACACACACATCTCTCTCTCTCTGATCCCCCTGGTCCAGATTTCAAAGTCTTCTTCCCTCGAATAAGAACACCCTAATTTGTTCAGAGATTCAAATCTTATTTTCAATATGGCTGCCGCTGCAGTCATGATGGAAACCTATTTACAGCCATTTGTTTGTATGTAATGTATGTTCCTTATCATGCTTATGTCTTCAGAGTTGCTACAACTGTTGTCGGTACATGTCCCCTACAGCTAGTGGGTCGAGAGTGGGTTCAAAACAGGAGTTGCATGTCATCTTGAGCTGTTTTGTTACCCCAGTGGATGTTGCCTGTTCATTCAGTTCACAAATTGTTTTGGTTCACAGGGTCAAGCTTTGGTAAATGGCTTCAATCTGGGACGCTACTGGCCAGTTGAAGGGCCACAGGTTACACTGTACGTCCCGAAACCTGAGCTGGTGGCGCCCCCAGGGACTAACTCCCTTATTATGCTGGAACTGGAAAGTACTGGATGTCAGGCAAACAGCAGCTGCACCATCAAGTTTGTAGACAGCCCGTTTATCAATGAGACACCAAAGGGATCCACCTTGTCATCACGTGTGGTTCGGGAAAATTTTGACTGGCACAAGTTTCATTAAGGCAACATTGTCAGCTGGTGTTACAATGTGTATGATGTTTGCCATCATGTTTGTATCACACTGTTACAGTTTGATATGCAATAACATTCCACTTACTTGCCTTTTAAAGTAGGGATTTTGTATCAGGTTCTTTTTTAACTTTAAATGTGTTAAATATTCTCATAATATTTTTGCTATCCTTCTATATTGACCTCAAGAAACCAGAGACAATATACTTTATTGTTCAGCAAGATTATTTTACACTTTATATTATATATGGAATTGCAAGTTGACAAGGCAGTGTAAACTATAATGTTTACAATGTATTTTTACATACATAATTGAGTGACTAGTCAAACTCAAGTGACACTGTTAGGGAGATGTGACTCACATTGCTCGTTAGTCTTTTAAAACTCCTGGTATTTAGGCCACTGTTACTGTGATATTTCTCTGCAGTATGTGATGAGCATCACTGATGTCAGTCAATGTCAAGACTCACTGGTACCATATGATGTGATGACGATAGCCTCTGTAGTATTACCATGATGAAAGAAGATAGTGAATATATTTATTGTGTTTATTTTTCATGATTGTTTGTGTGTTGATGCTGTGATTAAAGCCATAAATCTCACTGCATTCTGTCAATTTTCCAAAGAAATTGTTGCTGTTCTAGATTTGTTTTTGTGGCAGCAGTTGTGTTGCTTACCACCACATAGGTGAAGGCACCGCCTCCGTGGTGTAGTGGTTAGAGCGTCCGCTCGGAGAGCGGAAGGTCGCAGGTTCGATCCCCGACTGCGTCATACCAAAAGACTTTAAAATATGGTACTTGTTGGTCCCTGTCTGGCGCCCGGCATTAATGGGTACAACAAGGACTGGTCGGCTCGGAGTCAGTATAATGTGTCTGAGTGGGGTATTCATGCTTCACTGCGGCATGGTATTTCAATGGGCTAGCACTATAAAACCAGCTTCAGTCTGGGCTAGTACAAGCAGCCGCACATACACATACACACGCATGCACGTCGTCATATGAGCGAAATATTCTCAAGTACGACGTTAAACCCAATTTCACCTCACCACCTCACATAGGTGATCTATTCATTACCGACTGAGGAATGACGGAGCAGTGCCCTTGTGTCAGCAGTGTTCTGGCTACGGCAGGTCAGCCTGTAGATATTCACACCTGGAGCAGATAAGCCAGTGAGGTAATCATCCATGTCATTACCAGTTGAGGAATGAGAGAGCAGTGCCCTTGTGTCAGCAGTGTTCTGGCTACAGCAGGTCAGCTTGTAGATATTCACACCTGGAGCAGATAAGTCAGTGAGGTAATCATCCATGTCATTACCAGTTGAGGAATGAGAGCAGTGCCCTTGTGTCAGCAGTGTTCTGTCTCACGGCAGGTCAGCTTGTAGATATTCACACCTTGAGCAGATAAGTCAGTGAAGTAATCATCCATGTCATTACCAGTTGAGGAATGAGAGCAGTGCCCTTGTGTCAGCAGTGTTCTGGCTACGGCAGGTCAGCTTGTAGATATTCACACCTGGAGCAGATAAGTCAGTGAGGTAATCATCCATGTGATTACCAGCTGAGGAATGAGAGAGCAGTGCCCTTGTGCCAGCAGTGTTCTGGCTACGGCAGGTCAGCCTGTAGATATTCACACCTGGAGCAGATAAGCCAGTGAGGTAATCATCCATGTGATTACCAGCTGAGGAATGAGAGAGCAGTGCCCTTGTGTCAGCAGTGTTCTGGCTACTGCAGGTCAGCCTATAGATAATCACACCTGGAGCAGATAAGTCAGTGAGGTAATCATCCATGTCATTACCGACTGAGGAAGAGAGAGCAGTGCCCTTGTGTCAGCAGTGTTCTGGCTACTGCAGGTCAGCCTATAGATAATCACACCTGGAGCAGATAAGTCAGTGAGGTAATCATCCATGTCATTACCGACTGAGGAAGAGAGAGCAGTGCCCTTGTGTCAGCAGTGTTCTGGCTACGGCAGGTCAGCCTGTAGATAATCACACCTTTAGCAGATAAGCCAGTGAGGTAATCATCCATGTCATTGGGTTTGATAACATAAGCCAAGTTAGTGACCACCCAGTATTTCCTCATTTAGGTCAAACCTGAAGCATGGGATACTAGTGTCCAGTCGTGTCCTACATCTGCATAGGGTCTTATATACAGCTAATGACAGTCTGCTGTCTGGAGAATTAGATGTTATGCTGAACTGTTGTATAAAGATCTAACTTCAGCCCCGCTTCTTGTTCTTATTTGTAGACATTACTTAGCCGTGCCTTTGAATTTGACTATTCCTGAAGTTAATAATTCAGAGAAAGCAAAAAGAAAGAACAAACCTTTGAACGTGTCAATTTTATACCAATATGTCAATCCTGTAGGCCAAAGAAGGACTCATTGCTCTACATCAGTCTTTGATAGAAAGGGATTACATTAAAGGTCACCTGATAATAACTTATTTTGGCTCAGGGTGGAATTTCCTGTAACTTTTCATTTTAGGTCAATTTCATCTTGTAAACATGAAATACCATTGAAATTACATGAAATAATTGCTTTTAAACTAACGCAATACATTCTTCTAAAACTGGCTTATGTGTTTCCTTTTTTTGAAGTGTGTATCTATTTGGCACAATGAGCTGTCATTTTCCAAATAAGGCCGAGAAGAGTTTAGTCACAGCCTTCAGCCTTCTAACTTCTGTGGATTCTGATGATATCCTGTTTCTAATGTAAAACACTCATTATGCCCCAGCTGGGAACACAATGGTCTTCAAGCACTCCGCCGTCTAAACCTGAACAAGGAGCTTTTCATCGCAACATTAAACTACCACCAATAATAATATTTACCAGACGTCTGTTGTGCCCTTAAACGCACAATGGTCTTAAGTGCACAGAACTCATGAATATTCATGAGTGGGCGGAGCTTATGTCACTACGTCACATACACGGCACAGTATCTTCCGCGGAACTAGTAGAGGGAGTTGACCTATGCTGCTTCGTCTGTTATTGCCTTATACGATGTGACAGCTACAATATGCATATGAGGTATATGTAAACATGAAGTATAAGTGCTGTTTATTCAATATAATGTGCTGTATTGAAGTTTTTGCGGACGCAACTTCCACACGGTGAAGGAGTTCAAGCGAAAAGCCTCCCGAGAACAACCACGGTACCTAGCGCTATGATGGAAACATTCCTATGTCAATATTGTCATTGCTCAGTCCTGACTTATCATAACTCTCCAACCAAACAAAATAACATCTCTTGTCAACCAACTAAATACTTATATACAATACATATGTACATGTACGTACATATTGCCAGATCTAATTAAACTCCACGTGATTTCAATAGCCAGCTCTAAAAGGCTGCCTTATGAAGGAAGGAAAGGTTACCCAGGCAGGCCAAAGTACCCAAAGCTACCTTTCCATGGCTATCAGGGCACTACAAAATTGAAACAAATATTTGAGATTTATATCCCAGGGTAACCAAGCATGGCAACAAATATTTCTGGAATTTGGGTAGTGTATCTGAAGTACCTGAGGAACTCCTCCAAATGGTAAAATTACTAGTTTCTGGTGTGAAGGTGCAGATAAATATATTAAGGATAAAAACCCACCATGTTAACACCTCGGCCAGTTTAAATGTCTGGCAAAGTATATCCCTCCAAAGATACCATACTGCCAGGGTGTTTTGGAACTTTGGCAAGTCTTACTGAGTTTACTTATTGGCAGTTCAAATCACTTTCAATTATTTCCAACTTAACTTCCCTCTAAACTAATTAATATAAAATGGCATTTTCAACACCCCTCTCAACCTGATCCCTTTGACCATGTACAACCCCTCTAGACTGAAAATTTCATTCACTCTCTCTCCCATTTCAGCCTAGCTGGGCCACTTCCTCGGCGCGTCAAGGCGGACAGTCAGTGTGCACCACAGAGGTTCTGCCAGCTGCCCAGGAGAGCTTCATCCAGCCCCAAGCACCCCAGGGGACTGGTAGGAAATGAAATGCATGTTGTTTTTGCTGTGCCTTTTTTAAAAAGGTCCATTGTGCATTTAAGGTTTTCTGTGCACTTAAGGTTTCCTATAGCAGTCCTTAAGTGCACAGAAAACCTTAAATGCACAATGATGTCTTGGCCCCTCCCTGGACCCTCTTGGCTGTTTTGGCTGGTGCAGAGGCCCCACCTGATCCCTTTGACCATGTACAACCCCCTCTAGACTGAAAATTTAATTCAATCTCTCTCCCATTTCAGCCTAGCTGGGCCACTTCCTCGGCCAAGGCGGACAGTCAGTGTGCACCACAGAGGTTCTGCCAGCTGCCCAGGAGAGCTTCATCCAGCCCCCAAGCACCCCAGGGGACTGGTAGGAAATGAAATGCATGTTGTTTTTGCTGTGCCTTTTTAAAAGGTCCATTGTGCATTTAGAGGTTTTCTGTGCACTTAAGGTTTCCTATAGGAGTCCTTAAGTGCACAGAAAACCTTAAATGCAATAATGATGTCTTGGCCCTTCCCTGGACCCTCTTGGCTGTTTTTGGCTGGTGCAGAGGCCCCACCTGATCCCTTTAACCATGTACAACCCCCTCTAGACTGAAAATTTAATTCAATCTCTCCCATTTCAGCCTAGCTGGGCCACTTCCTCGGCGTCCAAGGCCGAGACAGTCAGTGTGCACCACAGAGGTTCTGCCAGCTGCCCAGGAGAGCTTCATCCAGCCCCAAGCACCCCAGGGGACTGGTAGGAAATGAAATGCATGTTGTTTTTGCTGTGCCTTTTTAAAAGGTCCATTGTAGCATTTAGGTTTTCTGTGCACTTAAGGTTTCCTATAGGAGTCCTTAAGTGCACAGAAAACCTTAAATGCACAATGATGTCTTGGCCCCTCCCTGGACCCTCTTGGCTGTTTTGGCTGGTGCAGAGGCCCCACCTGATCCCTTTGACCATGTACAACCCCTTCTAGACTGTAAAATTCATTCACCACACTCCCATTTCAGCCAAGCTGGGCCGCTTCCTCGGCCGTCATGGCCCAAGGACAGTCAGTGTGCACCACAGAGGTTCTGCCAGCTGCCCAGGAGAGCTTCATCCAGCCCCAAGCACCCCAGGGGACTGGTAGGAAATGAAATGCATGTTGTTTTGCTGTGCCTTTTAAAAAGGTCCATTGTGCATTTAAGGTTTTCTGTGCACTTAAGGTTTCCTATAGGAGTCCTTAAGTGCACAGAAAACCTTAAATGCACACATAATGATGTCTTGGCCCTCCTGGACCCTCTTGGCTGTTTTTGGCTGGTGCAGAGGCCCCACCTGATCCCTTTGACCATGTACAACCCCCTCTAGACTGAAAAAAGGACTCATTCACTTCACACTCCCATTTCAGCCAAGCTGGGCCGCTTCCTCGGGCGTCACAGGCGGACAGTCAGTGTGCACCACAGAGGTTCTGCCAGCTGCCCAGGAGAGCTTCATCCAGCCCCAAGCACCCCAGGGGACTGGTAGGAAATGAAATGCATGTTGTTTTTGCTGTGCCTTTTTTAAAAGGGTCCATTGTGCATTTAAGGTTTTCTGTGCACTTAAGGTTTCCTATAGCAGTCCTTAAGTGCACAGAAAACCTTAAATGCACAATGATGTCTTGGCCCCTCCCTGGAC